AATTAAAATTATTAAACACTACATGTACAATTTTATCATGATTTTTCATATAGCTTTAGTCGTTTCATATGGACTATATTTATGTATTTTTGGTCCTCAATCCACGTCCATTCCTCGTATGTTTCTCTATTCGAATGCCTGGAGCCTTTAGGCCTCTGAAATTCCAAGAAGTACTTCTAAGGATCTTATCTTATGTGAGACACTATAATACCAGTGACCTCAGCTGGGTTAGTGACACATGAATAGGTCACTCATAAAACTGGCTGCATTGCAGCATTTATTAAGTGTTAAAGCGTACTATCATCGGTTCACTTTGCCTATAAAAACATTTTACCACATGCAAAGCCTTGTAGAGAATTTACAAATGAAATGTAAGTGCCATAGGTTACATACTCAATTCTAGCAGCAACGTAATGGTCTAGTTTCACACGGGATATGGAATCTTGACAGGCCATACACTTCACTGTAATATAGATGGTAATATAATAAACAAAAGGAAATATCTCCACTCAGTTACCCATATCATTACAGACACTGTATACACTAATAATAAATCAGCAGCGCTCTATAAATACCAGTGGGATCATAACTGACATTTATTTGACCTGAACTTTGGCCATGAACGGCATAAATAATCTGTAAGCCCTGACATTTTGGCACTTAATTAGAATATTAGGCCCAAAATTATTTCCAGAAGAATCATTTCACATTGTAAAAAATTCCGTAATATAGAGCAGGTTTCGCAAAATACCTCTAAAAAGAACTATGGTATTATTTTTGGGCATTGTTCAAAACTTTGCAGATTTTAAAGAAATTAATACTTTTATTCAGTGAAGAAGCATTGGATTAACCAAAAGTGACAGTAAAGATTTTGACATTTCAAATCAATGTTTTTCATCAAAGAATCTTGGAAAAATGTATCACGGTTTCCATAAAAATATTAAGCAGCACAACTTTTTTCAACATTGATAATAATATAAATGTTAGAATTATGTCTAACATGGCACTGAAGACTGGAGTAAAGGCTGCCGAAATTCAGCTTTGCATGACAGGAATAAATCACATTTTCAAATGAGCATAAAGAAGAACATAAGAAGCATAAGAAACTTTTTTTGCTTAACATTTAAAAAAAATCTGACAGACCCCAAACTTTTGAACGGTAGTGCACCATAGTAATACAATGGTATTCTTGAAAGTTCAATTTAAATTAATTGCTGTACCATGTTAAATATCAAATACTGCGCCATGGTACTGATACAGTATTCCAATGGAGATAAAATGCAGACCTATGTAACACACCACACAAGAGTGCACTCTAGAAAAAGTCCTTTTATTAAAGTCATCTAAAAGTTTTTTTCTTTCAATTATTTGAGGCTCTTTTTGTACTCTAGTTCTTACAGCCGCTGTCTATCTGTTCCAGGTTTTTGTAAACTTCAATTTATGTTTTTTTTCCACTCGGAGAGGATTTAATAGTGAGAGAACAGCGGTGGAAGAGCTGGAGGGGTGCTAACACAACCCTACTGCTCTATTAATACACCTTATGTAACCCATCTGAATGCCAGTGTCCCTGTGTCTTTCCCAGACAACTTCTGCTTTGAGTCACTGCATTCACCACAAAATGCAGCCAAGTGACCGCAGAAATGAGCGAACATCAGAAACATATTAATTAACTAATTGTTCTCACACACACAGGATGAGTCACTGAATTTGCTGAGGTTCCCATCAACACCCCCGGCATGTGGTTGCCATGGATACATGGCCCCTTCCTGGGGAGTCATAATGTCAGTATAACACAACTGTAAATGCATTTCCCAGTTATATTGAGCACATGGAACAAGCAGTTCCAAGAGTTCCAAGCATGAGTTCTAAATATATATTATCTATGGGCATGGTCTTTATGGAAAAGCAAAGTGCAGAATAACAGGAGAGTATTGAGAGAAAGAGATAGGAATTTGATCAGGCATCCCAAAAGAAATGCATTAGGTAGGCAGGAAGGAAGGAAGGAAGGGTCTTCGATATGGTTATAGTGAAATTAAATGTAGTGACATGCTTCCCGAGTCACTACAAGCAATAAAGCATATAATAAGCAATACAGTAAGTAGTAAATATAATGAACGAATGATTTTAATTTCTGTAACTAAAATGCAGTTATGCAAAACAGTCAATACATACATGCAATATAAACTCATTCAGCAAAGCTGCATTTTATTTATTTATTTATTTTATTAGGAGTTTTAACTTTACTCGAAAATCGACAAAATCAGCCACAACAATCAAGATAGTATAAGTTTGGTTGGATAGTAAGAGCAAAACTGTAAGCATTTATTTACTAGCTGTTTATTTTAACAGGTATCACAAATTATAAACACTGACTGAATGTCTTGTTTGTTCTTCTTTATAACTTTGAAATACCAACAAAACAAAACAACAAAACAACACACAAAACAAAACACAACAAAACATCTGTCGGTTACTGACAAATCTAAGCAGAAAACTTGAATCAAGTGGGGGCGGGGCTATCAGTATGCTTAGGAAACTTGTTTGGAAACATCTTTCCATTTGATGACACAAGTGATGCAGCAACGACTTACAAACAGCTGCCTCTGTATAGAAGGGATGGAAAGTTTGACTCGTTTACACTTAGCGTTTGCTTTAAGGAACGGGTAAAAAAAAATACAAATAATAAATGATTCAGGGTATATTTACATGAAAATGACTACTAAAAACGGAAAAGTTTTTCCTTTGTGTAATGCAGTTATGCAAAACAGTCAATACATACATGCAATATAAACTCATTCAGCAAAGCTGCATTTTATTTATTTATTTATTTTATTAGGAGTTTTAACTTTACTCGAAAATCGACAAAATCAGCCACAACAATCAAGATAGTATAAGTTTGGTTGGATAGTAAGAGCAAAACTGTAAGCATTTATTTACTAGCTGTTTATTTTAACAGATATCACAAATTATAAACACTGACTGAATGTCTTGTTTGTTCTTCTTTATAACTTTGAAATACCAACAAAACAAAACAACAAAACAACACACAAAACAAAACACAACAAAACATCTGTCGGTTACTGACAAATCTAAGCAGAAAACTTGAATCAAGTGGGGGCGGGGCTATCAGTATGCTTAGGAAACTTGTTTGGAAACATCTTTCCATTTGATGACACAAGTGATGCAGCAACGACTTACAAACAGCTGCCTCTGTATAGAAGGGATGGAAAGTTTGACTCGTTTACACTTAGCGTTTGCTTTAAGGAACGGGTAAAAAAAAAATACAAATAATAAATGATTCAGGGTATATTTACATGAAAATGACTACTAAAAACCGAAAAGTTTTTCCTTTGTGTTCTTGAGTTTTGTGTACAGACAACAACATCGTCAAATCGATCCCCGTTCACATGGATTGATGAAAGTGACTAAAAATTTTCAAGCCCCCAAAATGCAGTTGTCTTGTATATGAACAGCCAAAATGCAAAACACAAAATAAAGAAATTTTCAGTTGAAAATGGCACCATGTAAACAAACTCAATAATTCTTTCACACCATGGCGTAATAAATTATGTAATCACATGGTCCCAGCGTGACATATGCCTATATTGTAAGCTATAAAATGTTTCAAACCAGTATGTAGGCACATATTACTAGTCTTTTTTTTTTCAATTAATATTTTATTAATAAATGTGTTTGTTGTAATAGCTTGTCCTAATTCAGTTCGCAGTCATGATTGCACAAGTGATCACTCATTATTTTCTCAACTCATTAGGAATTAGATTTCCTCTAAAGAGCCAGTTTTCGGCTGAGTGAGTCAGCCAGCTGTTGAATTGAGAACTGCTTGTGACGGAGATTTTGTGAACCAGTTCAACCAACTGATTGAAAAGACCTGACTCATATATTGTAAAAATTTTGTGCCCTTCGCATGAAAGTGAAATATGCATGTTCTTTGTTTTAAATGGCTGACCTTTATGAAACCCTAGGGGTGTCCAAACTCGGTCCTGGAGGGCCACTGTCCTGCTGAGTTTAGCTCCAACTTTCCTCAACACACCTACCTGGAAGTTTCTAGTAGGGCTGCACGATAAATCGAAATGGAATGGAGATCGCGATTTCTGAAAGCACATGATGATGATTTCCTGCTGATTACAGAACCGGTAATCGTGCAGCCCTAGTTTCTAGTGTGCCTAGTAAGATCTTGGTTAGCTGGTTCAGGTGTGTTTAATTGAGGCTGGAGCTAAACTTTGCAGCACAGTGGCCCTACAGGAGCAGGATTGGACACCCAATTTAGAGCCAAAGATGATGGTGTTTCCCAATAATAGGAGCATCTTGGTTCCATTTGACATCCACTGTATGGACAAGTACAAATACAATGGAAGGCAATGGGAACCAAAAATGTTTGGCATTCTTTAAAATAAAGAAATTCATAGCGGTTGTTACTAGTTGGTTCGGTTCATGGCGTATATCTCTTTAACTGAGACTTTTTTTTTTAAAATCCCAATGGGAAAGACACTTGAGGAACCAAGGCCACTGAAAAAGTGGGTGGGCACTGTTGCACTCTATTGCCAGATTTACAGAATTGACAACCACGTGACTTCCAAAAACACAAAAAGATGACATGAGATGTGGGAAAACACAGGTTGGACTGTGAAATAGAGATGCTTCCCTTGACAAAGCTCTGAGACATAATGTTGACACAATCAGTGTTTACACAGTCTACACACACACACAATCCATGAGTTTCCCAGCAGACAGTTATGGGCCTGCTGTAAATAATTCACTCGTGGCTTATCAAAGATGCACATAGAACTCCAGAGCCAGATTACACTCATATAACAACTGAGGTGCTATTTATTTGAGTGTATTTGTTATATTTATTACTTTATAGCATTCTGGGAACTCAGGCGCCCGAGCTACCCCAATGCTGTCTAGGTAAGCAGCGCACTAGGTTTTGAGACGCAGCCTGCGAGTCTATTTCCAGCGCTTTATCTTTATCCGCTTACCTTTGAGCTGCGGGAGCGCAGAGATCTCCGGAGCCGCAGGCCTGCTGCTGCCCGCCGCGAACTGAGACGAGCCCTGACAACTCCTCTGCCTTTGAGCCTTCCTCACCGATTTCCGCGTGAATCCATCCACTTTCTCGGACGCAGATATCGCCGACATTTCCAAAGCAGGTCTATCCAACGAGCTGCGTTTACAGTGACTGGATGCGCCCTATATGTTTTCTAGTCTGACTGACGTCCCATTGACTGTGCTGTTTATTAAACTCACAAGACCTCATCTAATGACACGCACTGTGAAGCCCCTCACGAAGGCTGCATGTTCTCTAACAACCCACAGGTATCCTGCGATGACAATTTGGTCAAGTATGACTGCAAAAACGTAGTTAATAGTAACGTTAGGTTTTTATCATGCCGAAATGTTTCAACAAGCGCGCCTTATTAAACCTGTTACTCCACGTAACACAACTCAAAGTCAGCCGACACACAGCCAAAACAGCGAGTCACGGTGAACCAGCCGCTTGGAACTGGCTCCATGTGTCGGCGACGCGAGGAAAGAGTATAACGTGAATCCGCCGTGAAATTCCTCGGATCCGCTGAACTTCATTCAGCTGCTGTTGCACCTCGCTGGGGTCTAAAAATAAAACCCCGTGCCGCGCCTGAGTGACAGAACGCTCATCCAATGAGCGTCCGCGCAGACAGTAAGCCCCGCCCCTTGACCAATCAGATTCTCTTTTAATGGTATTTCGGGAAATATACAAAACCAGAGATGAACTCAAATGAACACAGGCAACAAATGTTCACAAACGTTGAACAACTCAAAAGAACAAATACACAAAACGTGCACATGCAAGAACAAAATATCAACGAGAAATCACAAAATAAGAGTGCGCTTAAACACGGTAAGAGTTTGCGAGACTTGTAGCCAGTCAAATGAGTCGGGCTCATCCCCAAAAATGCGAAATAAAACCAACTGCTCAAAGCTCAGCACGTTCCAAACCTATATGCCTCAATTTCTAATTTAGAACACAAGAATAGATGAATGATAGTGATTTGACCGCGTCAGTTCATGCATCGTTTTTTTCCATGACTTTGGGTGTCATTTTACATAACTCCTTCACAGAGAAATAAAGTCATATGGGTTTGAAATGACAATTTTCATTTCTAGTTTAACAAATTAAGTACACAGAATTGCATATTTTGATTTAAAATGGGTTATAGCTAAAACTGAACTTCTCGAATCCAAAAGTCAAATAGTTTTGACCAACCATGCTAAACACCGGAGGCAAAAAACACAAGCAAGACAAGAACAAGCAGGATCAAAACACGGAAGCCAGACTATCAGGTCAAATCACATTCCAGACAACCCTGCAAACTAAAGAAACAGCCCGTGTCACGGAGAACGTAAAAAGTGATCATTGCAAAACTCACTGCACTATAGATGATCAATAACTAAAAAGCACCGAGCTAACTGAAAATGGATTTGTTATGTAAAGTGCTGCTTTACAATCAATAAAGAACTCTGAAAATGGGACCCACGTTCAAGGTCAGACAAGCTTGAAAGGGCATCACAGTTTTGGAAAGTCAAAAAAATATTAAAGCACAGACACTAGGCTCTTAAGATTGACCTAGAATTTGATATGAATGCAGTTACTTGAAAATGCGTGTTGAAAACTATTTTCAATGCATTACAGATAGACGTGGAAGCTTCAGAAAACTTGTAGAGTTTAATTGCGTTGTCGAATGACTTCGTAACGTTTACCGAAACGATCATCAATATGACCCTTTTTGAAACGTATACATATTTAAAAACAATTCGATAAAAAGAATATATACACATCACATACATAAATACATAAGCTTGGTCTCAAAAAAACTGGACCTGAACTTAAACCATAGATGTGTCATATTGAGACACAGTCTCGGATATCTTGCCACACAATGATCAGTCTTGGGTTCTTTTCACAAAGTAGCAAGAGATTTTTTTCGTGGGTCTGGATGGTGATGCTTTCTTGGTTGGCGGTGAAGAGACAACTCTTATTGGACATGGTGAGACTGCTGCCTAAAAAGAAAAAGAACAAAAAAAAAAAAAATACATACTAATTTTTAGAGAACTACTAAATGAATAACAAAGAAATAAAAAATATTAAAATGTATTTGAAATACATTTATTTTGGGCCAAGTATACTACAAATACATTTACGCATTCATGTGCTTACTAAAAATAACCTGCAATTTTACTTTTGGTATACTAAACTGGTATATTTAAAGACTGCTAAATTGTGCGAAAGTAGTGCTGAAGTCCAACTAAAGATATGCTGCAGTATATCTGATTGTGCTAAAGTGAAACTATTGCATGTATACTTCAGGTAGCATTTAAATATCTTGCATTTAAAGACTGATATTATTCAGATCATACAATCCTAATTAATAGTAATATTAAAACATTTTAGACATAATATTAGGAAATGTGCATTGTGCAATAAAGAATACTCCAAATAAAGCTGAATTAAAGTATTATATCAGTAAGTGGTGTCAATAAATGTTAATGGATTTTAAGTATACTTAGTATGAAATAAATGTATTTGAAATAAACCATGGCATTTTTTTTACTAGGGAATATTGATGTAACAGACATGTTTCGAAAGTACAAACAGAAACACTGCAAAATATTACAAATTAAAAAAAAAATGTGTTTTCAAATGTAATTTATTCCTGTGATCAAAGCTGAATTTTTAGCATCGTGACTCCAAGCTTCAGTGTCACATGATCCTTCAGAAATCATTCTAATATGCTGATTTGATGGGGACAAAATTATATTTATTTTAATTTTCTAACATTATAAATGTATTTACTGTCACTTTTGATCAATGTAATGCCTCCTTACTGAATAAAATTATTAATTTAAAAAGATCCCCAAACTTTTGAACAGTAGTGTATATTTGTTTTTTACATTTTTAAAAGAAATCTTAAATAACTTTTGCATTTTATATCATCTCAGAGTTGGTTTGGTCAATGGCTTACAACTATTGATTTTTAAAAAAATCTATATAGATTTCCATGCATCTACTCACTGGAGAGCTGTGTGTTCTTGCATCGTGCCGTTTGCTGCCACCGTTGGGGCTTTTTGGTTGAGCGGATCCTTTAAATCTCTGGCTGATCACAGAAAGCCAATCAGTCCTCCTCGGAGAGCTGTTCTCTTTGCCAGTGCCAGCTTGTCCAGCCGAGCTGAGCCTCTCCTCTGTTTGCAAACTGAATAGATCACCTTTCTCATTCTGTGCGCTTACTGAACTCCTGCTCCTCTTTACGTCAGGATACAGTTCAGACACCCCGTCACTCTCCTCTCCCAAACCAGACCCATCACCTGTTTCCAGTCGGCGCTTTGCGCGGCGTTCGGAGGAAGGGCCCTGGAGGACAGGTGTGAGCACCTTACGAAGAGGAGATGTACCGCGGCTGATCCACTGCTGGATGGACGAGGGCATTTTGGGGCTGCTGACTTTGGCCGAAGGTGCAGATGTGTTTGATGGCAGGGGTAAATCAGCACCCATAGGGGCGCAAGCAGCAGGCTGGGGTGAAGCCAGAGAGACAGCCCTCTCGCATCCAGAACTTTTGGCTGGAGTGATTTCAACAGGGCTGTAAGGGCCTGAGAGGACAAATGGTAAATCACAAATGCCAATAAAAAAATAAAAATAAAAAAATAATTAAAAAAAAAGAACAAGAACAATTTGAAATTATGAATTTCTGAAAACAAACAAAAAAAAACAAAAAACAAATGCAATACAAAAGTAATACTGTGAAATATTATATATATAAAAAAAAAAAAACACCTTTGTATTAAGTATATTTTTTTCCTGTGATGCAAAGCTACATTTTCAGTCATTATTTCAGTCTTTAGTGTCACATGATCCTTCAGAAATCATTCTAATATATGCTGATTTAGTGATCAAGAAACTAGGGCTGTGTATCACCAGCAAAGTCACGATACGATACGTATCACGATACAGGGCTGCACTGAATTTCACCTCAGCAGAATTTAGAAAAACAGCTGTTTATTAAACACTGCTTACTATAGTGCCATTTCTAACTATTGGCAGAGCAGGCAGCTGACCTCTGCATTATGAAGGGCCTCCATAACTGTACCACAGTACAATATAGGTAATGGCATATGTTTCATGTTTACATTGTGCACTCCCCACCAGGTACAATATTCTGATTGTTTGTATCTTTTTTTAAGCCCATAAATAATAATGTACTCGTTCTAATAAATGTATATTGTAATGTACTCATTCTAATATATTGCAAACCGGTGTACACAGCCTCTCTCTCTCTCTCTCTCTCTCTCTCTCTCTCTCTCTCTCTCTCTCTCTCTCTCTGTGTGTGTGTCGTAAATGAACAGTTGATGAATCACACTTTTCTGAGAATAGATTATTGAAGTGGAGATCGCTAAACTGCAAGCTAACCGGTGTCTTCAGAAAGCCAGCTCGTTTATCTACAGTGGAGAGAGCGCGTGTGCACATGGTTGCCATGTTCACAAAGATAAGTAACACACTTAGCAGATATTTCCGTATTGCGCAAGTGTAAAGCTCTGTTTTGGGGTTACGTCTCTTTATATCAGGCAACCCAGTTGTGTTCCTCTGCGGCCAGATTAAACCTTGTTGTAGCCTATATATGCTCTATTCATTCTTTTTTAGAAACCTTGCACTTTTCTACTCAATTTTAAACGTTGTAAAATTTTAAACAAATTAAGCGCGGTCCACTGCTGCACACGTGCCAAAATATCGATACAGGGCCAGCTGTATCGATACTCGTATCGTCAAATCTCTGTGACGATACATCATCGTATCGATATTTTGAACATAGCACTACAAGAAACATTTCTAATTATTAATGTAAAAAATAGTTTTTGCTGCTTAATATTTTCAATAAAGGCTGTTCTTTTGAATTTGTTCAAAGAATCCTTAAAAATGTGCCATAACTCCCACAAAAATACTAAGCAGCAAAAACTCCCTAACATAGACAAATCAGAACCATTATTAATAGGGGTGTGACAAGACACTTATCCCATGAGACGAGACGAGACACGAGACTGGGTTCACGAGAACGAGACAAGATTTTTAGACTTTTTAAAAGAAATCCTCAATGATGAAATATTTAGGGAAAAATAGTCTTTTATTCAAGTGAAAAACACAAAATGCAAAAAAATGTAGGTGCATTTTGAAATCAACTTGTGCTTTATGAAATTAAACTTCTATTTTAATGAATTATATACAGCAATAAACAACATGTAAACTAGAGCTGCACGATTCTGGATAAATTGAGAGATCACGATTCTGAAGAAAAAAAGATTAGAAAACTAAACAAAATAACAATTTACTAGTGGTTCTGACAAAATGTTCATTGCTTAAGTCTTTAAAAAATATATTAATTTGGAAAAAAAGTCAGTGTCTCAATTCATAAAGACCTGTTTCACAATTCGAATCTCCTGAATGAATGATTCAATGACAAATACTTTTTTTTTTTTTTAAACGGGCAGTTGTCGCCACCTCCTGGCGGAAGAGTATAAGCATTACAATACATGCAGGTGTTAAAGAGCAGTTCATATGGGTTTTCGAAAAAATATCTCTTTTGCCGTTTATAACGTAGCTATCCTTAAATGAAAACAATCTGCAAAGTTGTTAATCAAAAAAGTGCATGATAAATAAAGATATTGTCTCTCAAAAGAGAGTCGATTCTGAATCGCCTTAACGAGTCGTCATATTTTCAAATCTTTTGCCTGTTACCGGTATACGTCACTGGGTAACACATTTGCATAATCCCTGCCTGCCCGCGAAATACGAACAGAGTCTGACCTGCCCACAAACACTTCCGCTAGTTAGTGTGTTTACATCATGTTGAGAAGACACTGTGTTAAAGGATATCACAGAAATACAATTCGGACCTTTTGTTGTGTACATGTCATTTTACCAAGGACTGCTTCTCTAATCTTGGCTTTTATCTTCGTTGGCTTCTAATCTTCTTAATTTGGACTAACAAGCTCTCCGAACCAAACTAGAGGTCGACCGATAGTGGATTTTGCCGATACCGATAGCTAGGTTGGACCACACTGGCCGATACCGATTAATTAACCGATAGTTTTTAAAATGGATACTGAACAAAAACTAAAATAATGCTTTATTAAAAAAACAGTAGTAGCAGTAGTAATAATAATAAAAATGTTGAAATTAACACACTCTAACAAGGAACAATACTTTCATTACACAGCTTTCATTAATCTTAATGTTACAAATGGACTCTTATTTTAACGTGTTACCATTTCATTTTAACAGTCATGCTTAAAGATGCACATCTTTAAATATATACACAAAGGCCATAGCATTAAAATTATATACATATGGATAGTGTATGTATACTCTCACACTTTAACTGCCTCTATTCTTGAACACTTGATGATTATCTAATCAAAATAAAAGCGCAGTTTCATTACTGGATGAATCAGTGTTCTTGAACGAATATCTTGTATGATTCAAAAACAAATACATTTTAACAGCCCCTTTTCACCACCTACTGGCGTAACAATGTAATTGATAAATCTTCATTTGAAGTGTCAAATTACTTTCAAATGTGATTTACTCTATTTTAATCGCTACCATACACATCATGTACACAGTTTATATCCAAACTATAAACTTTTATCCCAGTACTTCTGTTATTTAAATGTCTGTAACACAGAAATAATGATGTGTGGTTGAAAAGACTGTTTGTGTTGCTCTTTCTGGATCAGCAGCAGCATGAATGATTCATTAACATGGGCAGCGACAAAACGTGCTTCTCACGCTCCACTGACACTCGCGATGTGAAACAGTCGTAATAGATATAGCTGAACTGTTGTCATTCAGGAATAAGATTGCGTGGTGGGTGTTTGAATCGAGATCGCGATCTTTAAACGATTAATTGTGCAGCTCTAATGTAAACTGCAAATTGTTTTGCAAGGATATCGGCACGTTCGTTCCGACTGGTCTCACGAGATCTCATGCCACATCGCTAATTATTAATATAAATAATAGATAATTGAGCATTAGAATGATTTCTGACACTGAAGACTGGAGTAATGATGCTGAAAATTCAGCTTTACATCATCACAGGAATAAATTACTTCTTTTAAATATATTAAAATAGACAGTTATTTTAAATTGTAATAATATTTCACAATATTACTATTTTTGCTGTATTTTTTATCAAATAAATGCAGTCTTGGTAAGAAACTTAAAAAAAAAAATCTTAATTATTCCAAACTTATAACCAGTAGCTCTGAATCTGAAATAAAATGTTTTACATGCACACACAAAGTAGAAAATTCACAAAAAGGGAAAGAGAGACCCACCAGGTGCTCTGGGTGGTGATTGGATTTTACGAAGTGTCCAGCCTACAAGGTTTGGGTCTCGGTTCGATGAGTTTTCTCCGTCTGGTCTGCGATTCAAGCGCCAGATCCTAACAGTGTTGTCATCAGAGCAGGAAGCAATCTGCAGAAAGAGTGTAGATATGACAATATAAAACTTTTATATTGTTATATTGAATAAACTGTCCACACATCTAAGAGATGTGTAGTTTTTTTTTTTCTTTAAGTACCAACCTTGGTGAAATCGCTGGGGCACCAGGCCACTGATGTGACTTCCTGGCTATGGCCCTGAAGCATCATGGGAGCTTGTTTCGGGTCTGGAATCTGGAGCAAAAACAAAATGTCATAAATGCAGACAGTGACCACAGATGTTCTCAGACAGACTGAGACAGGTTAGCTCTCTAGTTTTCTAGGTTGGTCCTTACCTTCCATATATAAGCATGATGGTCACTTGAACCACTGGCCAGGAACTGGTCATCTGGGCTGACACTGGACTTCACATAAAATGAGGAGTTACTGTGACCGCTGAACACAGCAACTGTGAGGAAAAAAAAAAATTCCAGTCAAACTACATGAGCCCACTTCACATGCCTGCAAAAAAACCGGGAAGGGCAAATTAAAGGAAAAAAGTAAAAAGCAAATGCATTTAAATTCCACTCAGGAAATAAGTCTCAAATTTAAACACATTTACAACCTGGAGTTGTTTTCAAACCACTGATGTCGAACATGTAGATATTGTCGTCTGTGCAGTTGGAGAACAGTCTGGAGCCAGTGGAGTCCAGTGACAGACCAGAATAACCTACAGAGGAAAACATAACAGTGAAAATTAATACTAATTACTAATGCACATTACTATTGGCCTAATGACAGAGTGGGCATGAGATGTGTACCAAGTTTGCGTGTGCAGGAGCCTGGGTAAGGATAGGCCTGTAGAGGGAGGGGGTTGTGGTAGTATGCAGTGTAGTTCTTCCGCAAATCCCACATTTTAATGGTCCTATGAGGAGATCAGAATGATATGGGAAACCATCAGCATTTACACAGAATTACACTAAGACATGAAGTTGAAAAATGTGACAGAATGTGGTAGCAGCATATAATATTTATGAAAAGAAATTAGGTACCTTTTTTACTGCATCTTGTGTCCCAAATCATTATGTTCCCATCTCTGCCTCCAGTGCTAAAAACAGCTGTTTTGAGAGAACAAGCAGTTTAAAAAAAAAAAGTCCACCAATAAATATAAATTGAGGAAAACACACACACTTATTTATACACTATTACAGTATTTATTAATATTTTGAATGATCTTTTATATAGTTTTAATTTTAGTTATAGCACATTTTTAATATTTCTATTTAGCTTTACATTTATTTTCATTTCAGTTATAGGATTTTTTGTATTTGAACTTAAACACATTAGAAAATGTTTCTTGGTTTTTTACTGCATCTTGTGTCCCAAATCATTATGTTCCCATCTCTGCCTCCAGTGCTAAAAACAGCTGTTTTGAGAGAACAAGCAGTTTAAAAAAAAAAGTCCACCAATAAATATAAATTGAGGAAAACACACACTTATTTATACACTATTACAGTATTTATTAATATTTTGAATGATCTTTTATAGTTTTAATTTTAGTCATAGCACATTTTTTATATTTCTATTTAGCTTTACATTTATTTTCATTTCAGTTATAGGATTTTTTGTATTTGAACAAACACATCAGAAAATGTTTCTTGGTTTTTCAGCGCTGGGTTATATTTAACCCAGCATTTTTTTAGAGTGTATATTGCACATAACAAAAGTAGTGTTATTGACATACTTCATGCATACATAATTTACGGTATACATACTGCACAGTAAGAGAGCTATTTTGACATGCACAGTAGAGTATGCTATTTTGACGATAGTTGTAGTCTTACATAATAGTAGAATTTACCTCTCTCTTGCTTGGAAAAAGCCACTGATTTAAGACTGCACTGATGTCCTTTAAATGTTCCTAGCAGGTCACCAGTAATAACATCCCACAGACGGGCCATTTGGTCACCAGACGCTGTTACCTGTAAATTAATATTTCCATGATAGATAGATGAGATAGATAGATAGATAGATAGATGAGATAGATAGATAGATAGATGAGATAGATAGATAGATGAGATAGATAGATAGATGAGATAGAGATGAGATAGATAGATGAGATAGATAGATAGAGATGAGATAGAGATGAGATAGATGAGATAGAGATGAGATAGATGAGATAGATAGATAGACAGATGAGATAGACAGATGAGATAGATAGATGAGATAGATAGATAGATAGATGAGATAGATAGATAGATGAGATAGATAGATAGATTAGATAGATGAGATAGATAGATAGAGATAGATGAGATAGATAGATGAGATAGATAAGATAGATAGATGAGATAGATAGATGAGATAGATAGATAGATAGATAGATAGATAGATATATAGATGAGATAGATAGATGAGATAGATAGATAGATAGATGAGATAGATAGATAGATGAGATAGATAGATAGATGAGATAGATAGATAGATGAGATAGATAGATAGATGAGATAGATAGATAGATGAGATAGATAGATGAGATAGATAGATGAGATAGATAGATGAGATAGATAGATGAGATAGATAGATGAGATAGATAGATGAGATAGATAGATGAGATAGATAGATGAGATAGATAGATAGATGAGATAGATAGATGAGATAGATGAGATAGATGAGATAGATACTCACCAAGCTGTTTGCACCAGGAACCCAGGCAATATCAAAAACTGCATTATCGTGTGCCTGCCACTCTGTAAAACAAAAGTTCAACATATATGAATCAGTCCGACAAAAATAATAGGTATCCTACAAAAACAGTATTGAATCTAGGTAAACGTAAACAAACCTTTCAGCACAGAGCTCTGTTTTTCTCCGGTATTGAAGATGGTCACAAACCCTTCCTCGTTTGCAACAGCAAGGCTGCTCTGTTGACCAGGAGCTGAGCAACAAATAAACCAGCACAAAGTGTTAGGCTTTACACAGTCGTGGGGTTCCGAGTACACTCATTGTGAACGTTTCATTAAAAGTGTACCAGAGGAAAATGTGCATCCAAACGGCGGCACAGCAGCAGGCGAGGCTCCGTATGAAGTGTGTTCGTCCTGTCGAGCGCACTGGTATCCGTCCAGCAGAGAGGACAGCGGATAGCGCCGACGCTGACCTGATTATTACAGGGGTTTTGAATGAAAAAGCGTAAACACATATATTTCCATTGACATATCTAAATTATACTCACCATTACATCTTCTTTTAATAACGCCTCGATCAACAACATGGTGAAAAAGAGTCATAGCTCCTGCTGGATAGGTGTTTCATTCAGAAATGCTCAGTTTCCCGCGAACATTGAAAAAGCGACGAAGACGAATTCCGCGCGATACCGACGTTCGCTCTTCTGATTGGCCAATGCGTCAGAATACCGGAAGTGTTGAGCAGCAGAGAGTGGGATGGCTGCTGGTTTAACACTGCTTCTATGGAAACTATGCAGGCCGCGTGCACTAGAGGCACTCTGTGGCCCAGAGAAAGTCAACTTTAACATTATACATCAATTGGACTTTATTTATTTAGATGCTTTACTGCATCCGAAACATCTGTTGTTTTTGAAAAATCAAATAAATTCGACAATTCACAATTTTATGGAAGCACATTTCCGCCGCATAAGAAAAAGTATAATGCTTTGGTAAATCATAATTATGACATAAAAGGTCATAGTTATGAGACAAAAGTTCAAAATTACGACACAAAATGTAGAAATACAAGATACTAAATCATTATGAGATAAGAAGTCGAAATTATGTCTTACTAAGTCATAATTGTGAGTTAAAAAGTAAGTTAAGCTAAAAAAAAGTCTGATTATGTTATTTTCAGTGTATTTGTAAGAATGAAAATGATTTCTGACGTGAACCACAAAACAACGATCAATATAACAATATAACTTTTTATTCGTTAATTTAAAAATCCTTATCTATGAATACTAAAGAAAAATATTGTATTTTTATTTGATTTAAAATAAATGAAATATTAGCTAGATAGATAGATAGATAGATAGATAGATAGATACTGTATTTAAAAACAATTCATGAAAGCCAAGCAGAGTAAAAAACGTTTTTTTTTATTAGCAGAGACAGAGACCAATCGGAGTTGATGCCAACGCATAGGCCACGCCCTCTTTGTGACATCAGTCGTTTTCGCTTCTAGCGTTCTTTGTGGTTCAACGGAAACCCGACGTAAGAGCCTGGCTTTGTCACGTGACCTGCACTGCAGCCGGGTCATCCGCTTCAAACTTCATCATACGCCAAGTCTGTCTGTTCTAACGAATAAAATACTGAGTCTTAAAACAGTCTGTCGTTCCACATTTTTCGCAATCTAACGATAAATGATGTCGCTCTCCGCAGCGCGCTCGTTTCTGTCGGAGGCTGCTTATGGCGAGCAGGAGCTGGACGCCAATTCTGCGCTGATGGAGCTCGATAAAGGTTGGGCTTGTGTGTTATTATGATTCAGCTATGCATGCCTTATGTTACCTGTTCATCTGATAACGCAGTAATGTGTTTATTTATATTCAGACAGAATGAAATCTGTTGACGTAATTAACATACCCAGTCATTCTTATTCTCGCACCATTAAAGGTTTAAGGTCCTGTAAACTGGGCGAGCAATGTGAAGCTGTGGTCCTTTTCCCCAAACTCTTTCAGAAGTATCCCTTTCCCATCCTCATCAACTCTGCCTTCCTGAAACTGGCAGACATCTTCAGACTTGGGTAATTAGGCGCATTAAATAAAGAAAATGCATATCTATTAGCTTTGAGGCTGTGTATATGCTGTTATTACATGGCTCTCAGGAATACTCGTGTCTGATTGGTCAATTGCAGTGCTGGTCAAATATTTCTGAATAATTATATTTGTCTAGGACAGTGTTTCCCAACCTTTTTTTTAGTGGCGGCACCCTTTGGAAATTTTAACAAACTTGTGGCACCCCTCAAAATGAATTTTGTCACAATATTTGAATTTCTAACTTCGATATGATAATTTGAAAAGTATAGATATTCGGTACAACAGGGAAGAACTGCAGAATATAATGTCATACAGATATTTTTAATATTATTAAGAAATTTTGTCCATCAATGGTGGCAATCAGTAGGCTAATTTCTAATGAAGATACCAATTTATATGACAGATTTTAATGTAGGCTTTTATACATATGTAAACATTATTTAATTACCATTATAACTAGCTATCTCACAAATTTTTGCACTCAGTGTTTTTTTTTTATTTTACAGTGGGGTAATTTTGGTGCAGTAGCACGAGATAGCTTGATTTCAAACTTTGAATTGAATAAAAAATGACAAGTAAGCAGTCAGTAATAAAATAAGAACAAATAAAGAAATTAATAATGATAGCACAAATAAAAAATAGCGACAGGCCTACGAATTAAATAAATTGCTTTTTAGTTTTTCAGGTAGGTCTAACAGTAGGGTTAAGATATTTAACTTTTTTTTTTGTTTGTTTTTTTTACCAATTATCCAAATGATGTTTAGTCCTAGAAAGCTATTATTATCAGAACACGTGAGCATAACATAGCGGTTAGCAGATCAATGAATGAGAGGGCAGCGTTACCAGAGTTGCCCATATACCGCACCATGTTACAGCACAGTAGGGCTATTGCAGACAGAAACAATACTGTACTACATCGATGTTTCCTGTTGGCTCAATTTTTGAGTGGACTTTGCTGTTCCGATGAGCATGAACGGTATACGAGTGGAGCGACTGAGCGGAGCACACACGCATAGAGCGGGATAATAAGCAGAGCGTCACACCACATGAAAGTGAAACCTGAGAGGTGAGCTAATTTCCGGCAGCCGAAATTTTGGTGCATCTCTTAATTATTGGCGATATCAGAAATGTATATTATATAATAGATGCTTTTTTTAACATTTTAGCAATTTAAAAATATTAAAAAAGGATTTTTTTACACGGCACCCCTGCTCTCGACAGACGGCACCCCGGTTGGGAAACACTGGTCTAGGACAATGCTTTGTTGTGCTTCTGTTCTGTCTCTGTTATGAAATGAACGTGCCATTGCATAACATGTATCTGGAATTGAAATGCATTTAGAGATTTGTACTGAGTGAAAAGTTCTGAATCTGTAATTTCACCCCTGTCAAATTAGGAACAACTTTCTGCGACTCTGTGTGCTGAAGGTCACACAGCTGAGCGAGAAACACCTGGAGAAGATTCTGAATGTGGACGAGTTTGTCAAAAGAGTGTTTTCCGTCATTCATAGCAATGATCCTGTTGCTAGAGCAATAACTCTCAGGTACTTGTGGGTGTTTTTCCTGCATGCACTTCCTCAAAATGTTCTATTTTATTTTAAAAATGCCATGCGTTTCTTGTCAGCTTCCTACTAATATCTAAATTATCAATTATTTTGTCAAAGACCGTCCTAGAATATGCTTAGAAATAATAATACACATTTATACATTTTCGATGCTTATGTTTTTGTGTCTTGTGCATTTTGACAGGATGTTGGGAAGCTTAGCCTCCATTATTCCAGAAAGAAAAAATGCCCATCACAGCATCCGGCAAAGTCTGGACTCTCATGATAATGTTGAAGTAGAGGCAGCCATTTTTGCAGCTGCTAGTTTCTCATCGCACTCTAAGTAAGTGTACACTATGACAGCCAGTCTACTGATAGACAGAACATTTTTTAATATTTTTTATTAGTCAATGTTTTTATTTTAGTGTCAATTTATTTTAGTTTGCATTGATTTTATTTCAAGTAACAACAATGTTTTATGTTTCTAGTTAACTATAATAACCCTGGAAATAATGCCTGTCATGTTCATTGTATCTTTTTTCCCCCCCCAGAGATTTTGCTGCCGGAATTTGCAACAAGATTAGTGAAATGATTCAAGGTATGTGCTATCGTCATGTGAGTGGTCTTGATGGTTTGGATTAGTGGTCTGACTGAACTGTGTGTGTTTGACTGAAGGACTGGACACTCCAGTGGAGCTGAAGCTGAAGTTGATCCCGATGCTGCAGCACATGCACCATGATGCCAGTCAGGCCTCGTGCAGCAGGGAGTTACTGCAGGAGCTGGTGTCCTCCTACCCCTCCACACCCATGCTCATCGTCACGCTGCACACCTTCACCCAGCTGGCCACCTCCTCACTCGTAGATATCCCTGAGCAGGTCAGAGCATGTCTACTGTTGTCTTAAAGTGGTCATCGGATGCCCATTTTCCACAAGTTGATATGATTCTTTAGCGTCTTAATGAAAAGTCTTTAACATACTTTGGTTAAAATTTCTCCATGGTAGCGTAAAACAACACTCTTTTTACCTTGTCAAAAACAGCTCTGCAAACAGCAAGACATTTTAGTACATGTCCCTTTAAATGCTAATGAGCTCTGCTGACCCCGCCCCTCTCTTCTGTGGGGTGGCGAGCCCGTTCTCTGAGAGACTGTTTACTTTAGCCACGGAACTTGCTAACTAACACTTGTGAAACGCCCCGTTGCTTTGATTCGCCTTAGTCACGTGACATGGGTGTTTCGAATCACACTTCGGAGCAGGGGTTCGAAATATCTGCGCTTCGGGATCTCGACACCGTGTCGAAACGTCAGTTTCGCGTCAGCCATCCCTAAGGCTGGATCACGAATGATTCGCGCGAACATAAACGCATTTAGGTCCCTTCAATTCCCTTCAAAAACAAACGTAATCCACTGCGTCTTCAGCGGCTCAGATGTCAGGAGTAAATGACGACAGCTATGTTCATTATTACATCCAACAACAGAACACTTCAATCGCTTAGGAGTCATTCTTGTCTACATCTGCTCCGCACAAAGACAAGAAGCTGAGAACGGCTTGATTTGAGAAAGGGGATATTATTTATAGGGATTTTAAAAAACTACTGGGTGGATTTTTATCATTTTAGGGTGGATGTGTACAAACACTGCCAACACACATTTATGTTCAAACAACATGTAAAAGCGAATTTTGCATCCGATGATCCCTTTAAAAATATATGAATGTCACTAGCTATGTTTCCATCCACCTATTTTTATGCACATTTTGGAATATCGCATAAAAAAAATGCTGGATGGAAATGCCAAGATGCGCATAAATTCTAAAAATGTGCATAAAAAACTTATGCGCACAACTGAGTAGGATAAACTTTTATGCCCGCCCGGTCTGTTCTGTTCTCGTGCTCCATTTAGGCGCGCTGCATTCTGATTGGCTCGGATAGCATACTGCGGGAGGTCGGGGGCGCCCTAACAGGAATGCATTACCTTTTAAAATGTATCATAATACAAAAGTTATTTTAAATTGTTATAATATTTCACAGTATTTATATTTTTAGCTAGGCTATTTTTTTTTCAATATATTAGTATTTTTGATCAAATAAATGCATT